ACGTGGCCACACATTTACAATGCTAACCAGCATATATACATTTTCTTCCGTCCTCCATGGACAGGGTTAGAGAAGTGTTAAACATATAGTTCAAGGGTTTATTGAACACTCAACCACAGAAGGTGATTCGGTGCTTTTAAAATGCTAAGCTAACCTACATACGTAAATACATAGATACACAGATTTACGTATGCCCTACATAAAGTGTTTGATGTGTCTTTTACATAGTGTCATTAATGTACATTCACAAAGGTGAAATGTAATTCTGATCAGCTTCCATATATACTTTATACCCATACATATACATACACACACACATATACATACATATATACACACATGCATTCACATACATCTGTCTCATTTACTCTGACAGGGTGAGGTAGCTGATAAAGAAACTAGTGTGCAATTAAGTACTTAATCACTGAAGGTGATGAAGGTGCTAGCAGGAAACCTAAATTGTCATTCAGAAAAACTGTGCATGTGAAATTACTTTAATTTCTTTGTGCTGTAAATGTCAGTATTATAAAATACAATTTTAAAGCTGTCTCCCAAACATTCATTAATATGTAGAATATACAGTACTGTCTGATATACAGTGTAAGTGCAAGAACGAAAAAGATAATATCCGGAGTGACAGTAATTATGCCATACGACTTACAGAGAACATTCACTCGCGGACCATCCCGAGTAGCTCAGTGATCAAGAAACTGATGATGTCACCAGAAGTTCCTGACGACACCAAACGCCAGGTTGGTGCGGCTCTTTACGTCATAGAGTCACTTATTGACACATTGTATAAGTGGGACGAGGACAACAATGGGACCACCAGTCCCAGGGAGGAACAACACCAAGACGATGGCTGCTGTTGACACAAGAACCATTAGGTTTCTCAGTTGGAACATTCGTAGCTTCAACAAAAGACTGAATGACCTAATTGCATATGTTACCAGTAACAACATAGATATAAATGCTTTACAGGAGCCCTACACGTCCAATATGATAAACAAAACCCCACCAAAGATCAGAGGGTATGCATCCTATAACAACAGTAACGCCACAGGCTTATTAACATACGTCAGAAGTGATTTACCGCACATTCTTGTGAGCACGTAACACAATGTACACACACAGTACCATCACTTTCATGTACAAACTACAGCAGGCCACTTTTCATTCCTCAACGTATATGCCAGAAGCCAGAAACTCAATGTAGCATTGCTCCCAGATCTAGACAATCATGGGACACTATACATGGGAGATTTTAATGCTAGACATTAAATTTATCAAATATGTTTATGACAACAGATTAACCGTGTATACTACGGATACCCAAACTCATTTATTGGGAGGCAGACTTGATTATGTAATGGGTAGAAACCTTGTGCAAGATAGGATGGAATGTTCGTTGGTAAATCACTTAGTTAGTGATCACTATGCAGTTTCTGCTTCCTATGAGGTACAGTGTGATGTACCTAATAGACATCAGAGACGGAAAATGAATATTCCATATGGCTTGCATGACCACTTTATTAATTGTATATCAAAATGGTATCAAGATTACACAATAACGAATGTACAAGCTTCTACAGAGATCTCGTTGATACGATTACTGCCTACTATGACACATGGGTGTTGTTGTTGTTGTTGAGTTAGGGACGACGACGATCGTGGGATCGTCGAAAGGCGAAATGCCAAGCCAAAACGCGACACGAGTGACGCCAAGTACTAGAAACTAATATGACACACGGCAAAGCTACGCACAAAGCGAGAGGCAGAAGCACATAACAGAACAGGGCAAACAAACAACCAGAAGGGCACACAGCATGTCATAGAGCAAATACACAGGAAATCAGAGCACATACTTGCCCGGGAACTTGGCCCGCGGGAACCTTACATTGAACGCCTCCCAGAGCACCCATTGCCAAGGGTCTCGTCCATTCACCGGGGACGCCATAACATCCGGAACCGGGGCAACAAACACCTGCAAACTGGGGACCCAGATGGTAGTACTCATGAGGCGAGAAGTCGCCACTCGCCCCCACAGGAAGGGAACTTGCCCCCCACGAAAGCACTCCGGTCCGTCAGACAGCTGTAACTCTGCAATCTTCGACCAGTGACCCGGTGGCATCACAGACGCCGGCAACACGTCCCCCAGGGCCCCAACGCGCACCCGCACCACAGGGGCACCCGCGGCCCCGGGCACACCACCAGACAACAGCAGGGAACCCGGACGGCGCGCATCCTTCCGTAACGTCACCACCAGGCCACGCCCAGCACCAGAGTCCACACCATCCCTGGCAGCAGAAGCCACCACCCCCCACTGTGGAGAGTCCCCCGGCGGAGAAAGAACCGAAGGCACGTCCGAGGCACAGGCACCAGCACCAGCAGGCACATGGACCTCCGCCACCACGAACCGCAGACACATCGACGCATCCATATCCACACTGTCAACACCCGAAGCCCCACAGTCACTGAAATCACCAACGTCGGCCCAGGAAAAAGACGAACGCCGGGAACGTTTAGGCACCGGCCGGATATCGTCCGAACCGGTAAGTGACCCAGAAACACTTGTACCACGAGCCGAAGGAACCGACGCCAGGACGGCAGCAGCCTCTATCACAGGGGGAACCGGGCCACACACAGCAGGAGGCTCCGCAGCCACCCCAGCACCATGCACATCCGGGACCCGAGTCACGGACACAGGGCCAGGCGCAGCATCAGAAGACGAGGGAGAAGACAGCGACGTCACACAGGGAGCTCCAGGAAGGCCCACGGGAGCAGCTGGAACAGCGACAGGAACACGCAGACCAACCGACGGTACCTCAAGAACCGGAGGAGGGACGGCAACAACCGGAGGAACGGCAGGCGCCGCCGGGGAAGCTGCAGCAGCAAACGGGACGCGCACCTCCTCATCAACATCACCAGAGACTGCCTCCAGAGGGAGCGGCGGGAAATCCTCGTCGCGGAACAAGTTGACAGGAGCAGCAGGGGCCTCAGAGCACCCGGCAGCCTGATGCCCCAACAGGCCACACCGGAAACAGGTACGAGGCTGCCGGGCATAATACACCCGGACGTAGTATCCCATAAGCCGGACAGAAGAAGGTATATCCGACCGCAGGCGCATCCCCAACGTGCGAATGTTTGTACGCCTCCCAGCGTACCGCCCCGAGGAGAGCGTGTTCACCCGCACGCTGACAACAGTACCAAAACCCCCGAAGTAACGCCGAAGGAGGTCATCAGGGAATTCCAGGGGCGCACCATGGATACTGACATAAGTCAGGGCATCACTGCGGTCCAAAATCGCCACAGAGCCAGCATCGTTTGGCAACGGCAACGTACGCCCCCCGTACCGACGGAGGAAGTCCCGGTACTCGTCCTCCCCCACGAACTTAATAACAACCCGATGGGCCGTAACTAGCTCCACACCGTAAACAGCTTCCACCGGGACACGAAGCATGTCACACATCACCATCTCGATGGTCGGATAACCAGCCTTACAAGTGAACTCCAGGCCCACGGAGTTCACACGCTGAACAGGAGGAAGATGGCCCCCCATGTCAGAACTGCCACGTCAACACAGCCAGGCAGGCAACAAAACTGGTAGGGCAGGGACGCCCACACCACCTGGCGACCAAAACAGCAAACAACTCCAACAGCCACGGAGGGTCGGTAAGCGTCCTCACTCCACGGCTGCTAGCAGTCGACCTGACACATGGGTGTGTTGGGGAACAGGTGGTAAGCCTAGCAGAAGTGGGCAACACCTACCACCACCCAAGTGGGTCCTTACAAAGCGGACTGTGCTAACCTTCTCACTAAGCGGGCCGCGCTAACCTTCTCACCAAGCGGGCCGTGCTAACCTTCTCACCAAGCGGGCCGTGCTAACCTTCTCACCAAGCGGGCCGTGCTAACCTTCTCACCAAGCGGGCCGTGCTAACCTTCTCACCAAGCGGGCCGTGCTAACCTTCTCACCAAGCGGGCCGTGCTAACCTTCTCACCAAGCGGGCCGTGCTAACCTTCTCACCAAGCGGGCCGTGCTAACCTTCTCACCAAGCGGGCCGTGCTAACCTTCTCACCAAGCGGGCCGTGCTAACCTTCTCACCAAGCGGGCCGTGCTAACCTTCTCACCAAGCGGGCCGCACTAACCTTCTCACCAAGCGGGCCGTGCTAACCTTCTCACCAAGCGGGCCGTGCTAACCTTCTCACCAAGCAGGCCGTGCTAACCTTCTCACCAAGCGGGCCGTGCTAACCTTCTCACCAAGCGGGCCGCACTAACCTTCTCACCAAGCGGGCCGCACTAACCTTCTCACCAAGCGGGCCGCGCTAACCTTCTCACCAAGCGGGCCGAACTAACCTTCTCACCAAGCGGGCCGCGCTAACCTTCTCACCAAGCGGGCCGCACTAACCTTCTCACCAAGCGGGCCGCACTAACCTTCTCACCAAGCGGGCCGTGCTAACCTTCTCACCAAGCGGGCCGCACTAACCTTCTCACCAAGCAGGCCGCGCTAACCTTCTCACCAAGCGGGCCGTGCTAACCTTCTCACCAAGCGGGCCGCGCTAACCTTCTCACCAAGCGGGCCGCACTAACCTTCTCACCAAGCGGGCCGCGCTAACCTTCTCACCAAGCGGGCCGCGCTAACCTTCTCACCAAGCGGGCCGCGCTAACCTTCTCACCAAGCGGGCCGCGCTAACCTTCTCACCAAGCGGGCCGCGCTAACCTTCTCACCAAGCGGGCCGGCCGCGCTAACCTTCTCACCAAGCGGGCCGCGCTAACCTTCTCACCAAGCGGGCGCGCTAACCTTCTCACCAAGCGGGCCGCGCTAACCTTCTCACCAAGCGGGCCGCGCTAACCTTCTCACCAAGCGGGCCGCGTGCTAACCTTCTCACCAAGCGGGCCGCGCTAACCTTCTCACCAGCGGGCCGCGCTAACCTTCTCACCAAGCGGGCCGTGCTAACCTTGCTCACCAAGCGGGCCGCGCTAACCTTCTCACCAAGCGGGCCGCGCTAACCTTCTCACCAAGCGGGCCGCGCTAACCTTCTCACCAAGGGGGCCGCGCTACAAATTGCAGATAAATATGGCAGATTCCCTTTTCCAGGATTTCCATATATTTTGAGATGTTCTTCTAAGACAGGGACAAATTCACTCAGCACCTCTAGTATACCTAAATAGTTGTCATTTTTTCCTGACCCAATAATCTGATTTTCTCCACGAAATGGCAAACCTTGAGGCAAGAAAGCGAATTACAGAGACCACACGTGTCAACACTTTATGCCAATATTCCTGCTCTGAGCGATGTTGCTCAAGTAATAGAGAATCTACACTTTCAGTTTCTTTATGTCTTATCAAATATGGTGTCATGCACTTTCGATATTTTCCTCCGTTTTCATGTTCTACAATAATATTGCTGTGCTTGCAGTCACTGAACCCGAATGTAGCAAAGGGAGATTCTTTCTTGGACAATAGGCGACATTCAAAGCAGTACAAACGACCTTAGGATGGTGAACAGAGTAGCCATTCACGTTTTACATACTCGTCATTCCGCAGTTCACGTTTGGACACATTGTTTGATAAATACCTCGCCTTCATATTCTCTACTCCAGCTGTTTTATGCACTCTGCGTGAGTTTGAAAGGTTGCTGTCGTCATGTTTCTGACATGATGAGGGCCCCCCCTTTGAATCCAGTAAGCTATTGTGTTAGTATCGTTAATATTCCATAGCCTCGGATCTGTCTCTTGGATTGCAAACTATTTACTGTTACAGATTTGGGTAATTCCTCTTGTAAAATGTTACCAGCAGCAGCAGGTAATGATGGTATGTCTGCTGAAACTGGATGATTGGTAGCAGGAATGGATATAGATGTGGATGTTATATCTGAAGGAACAGTACTAGTGGCTGACATTGCAGGAGTGGATGTTGATATGGAGGCTATATCTGAAGGACTGTAATGAGCGGCTCATTGCACCTATGTTGAGCCACAATGTTAATTTTGGAAGTTTTCCCATTTTCTCCTCCTCCTCTGCAGCTCTCTTCCTCTTCTGTGCTCCACTCAAAACACTGTTTCAATTCTGTTGAATGGGTTACTCATCTGGAAATATATAACTTAAATATTTAGTATTTAGTCCCACACCAGGATGTAGGGTTATATTATATAAGTGTGCTTGCAAGAAGACCTAAATGTTTAAACATTCTGCTTCCATAATGAACATGTCCTATGCTCGTGGGGCCCCCCAATGCTGGTGGGGGCCCCCAATGCTGGCGGGGCCCCCGGGAAAGTGCCCATCAGGCCCATACGATAAGACGCCTCTAGCTGTATATAGCACTATATGCGGAAAGAACGCAAGAGAAATCAAATAGGTTTTTGAACTGGACGTAAACAGGTGTCCGGACATCATCTGAACTCGAAGCCTATGTCCTTGTAGCGTTGCTTGAAAGTTTCGTTGTACCAATTGGAGTTGACGTAATGAACCTCGCCGCAGGTGTTGTAGATGTCGCCTGAAGAGTCGCTGTAGGTGGCGCTGCCTTCGTTGTCCCAGTACGCCACCTTCCGGAACCCTCGACCCTGTCCAACGACACGACTGTTACTTGGGGCTCATGGTGAGAGGCGCTACAGCGTGGGTGTAACTTGGTGTGGAAGTGATCAAACAATACGAGGACAACAATAAGTGTTTACCAGAGAAAGGATGTGTGGTAATATGTATGATGTAGTGTGAGACACGGGGGGCTCAGTTTAGAACTATTGTTTACACATGCTGTGCTCTCTGGTGTGTGTGTGTGTGTGTGTGTGGTGTGTGTGTGTGTGTGTGTGTGTGTGTGTGTGTGTGTGTGTGTGTGTGTGTGTGTGTGTGTGTGTGTGTGTGCACGCGCGTGCGGCGTGTTTGTACATGCGCGGGTTTGTCATATACACAGGCTCCCGGTTTTATTTAGCTTAACTAAGAAGTAATAGCTGTTTATATCAGAGGTCAACACACGCACATCTTGCAGTGTTGACGTCGTGGAGGCTCCGAGCAACACTGCGGCTCCCCCTTCACCTCTCACCCGCCTCCAGGTGTGGCCTCCTCCAGGTAGGCCTCTAAGGCCTTGTAAAACATGAGTTGTATGTCACGCCTGTATGAAAGAGGTGGGGCGGGGGGCGCAAGTGGGGTCACATGAGGGGGGGGGGGTGAAGGACGCTGCAAGTCATAGTCTAGATATTCCCTGCGTACCTTAGTGAATTACTAGGCATTGTAAACAAACATGCCGTCCAAGCTATACATCGTCGTCCTATATTTAATATATAGGACGTTAAATATAGGACGTCCTATATACGTCCTATATTTAGCCTACAAATTTGTACAATGGATCATTATAAATTATAATTTATTCGTATTGTACGTATTGTATAAGAGTTTATGTATTAGAGTGCAGTCCTTAGCTTATTATATAAATTGAATTTTGATAATTAAGGGAATGAGCTTTTTCTTATTTGTAGAGCGGCCCGCTTGGTGAGAAGGTTAGCACGGCCTGCTTGGTGAGAAGGTTAGCACGGCCCGCTTGGTGAGAAGGTTAGCACGGCCCGCTTGGTGAGAAGGTTAGCACGGCCCGCTTGGTGAGAAGGTTAGCACGGCCCGCTTGGTGAGAAGGTTAGCACGGCCTGCTTGGTGAGAAGGTTAGCACGGCCCGCTTGGTGAGAAGGTTAGCACGGCCCGCTTGGTGAGAAGGTTAGCACGGCCCGCTTGGTGAGAAGGTTAGCGCGGCCCGCTTGGTGAGAAGGTTAGCGCGGCCCGCTTGGTGAGAAGGTTAGCACGACCCGCTTGGTGAGAAGGTTAGCGCGGCCCGCTTGGTGAGAAGGTTAGCACGGCCTGCTTGGTGAGAAGGTTAGCGCGGCCCGCTTGGTGAGAAGGTTAGCGCGGCCCGCTTGGTGAGAAGGTTAGCACGGCCCGCTTGGTGAGAAGGTTAGCGCGGCCTGCTTGGTGTAAAGGAATATATCTGTAAGAAGGCAGATGAAGAAGGAGAGATAATACACCCGCCACATAACATAACGAGGAGTCTAATGGCCTGAGGAAGGGAGCAAGAGACAAGTACGGGTACCTCCAGAGCCTTGAGGACGTCGTAGCGTTGTCTGACGTAAGCCAGGTGCTCGTGCGGCGGGAGGGTCGTCAGGTCCATAGCGTGGATCTCTATGGCGATCTGCGGACAACCACAACAACGCAAGAGGTCAGCAGCAGCGAGGTGGTGCCAGGGTCGAGCAGTAGTCTCAACTGCGTCAGTATTACTGCTGTTAACACCTTATATCCAATTACTTACACTAACTTTATTGTTTATCATACGGATTATGACAAGGCATGCCCGGCCCACCATGCTACGACCACTGGTATATACAGTGGCCTGTATATCCCAGTGGAAGAGGAAGCTAGGCATCTCACCTGGCCAATGATGTCCATGAAGGGCGCCTGGACTATCTTCCTCAGCACTTTCCACTCGTCGTTCTCTATGTCTATCTGGCAATAAACAGTTGCATTACAGCACTAGAGTAAGAACAAAGGGTAATGCAATGAACCCATACAACGCCGCTCTTATGTATATCCAACCAAACGCATTCATATACATAAGTAACTTATGCTGGAACTGTTTACTCAGGTCTTTCCTGGATCTAAACCGAGGACATGATTTGAGACATGAGGGGCCGTCACCCGCGCCAGCAGCCTCGTCATCTGCGCCAGGACTCCATTATCCTCCCTCCTTACCACAGCCATGTTATTGAAATCGTTTATGATGATCGTGTCATTGTTGCTCATACAATATTTCGTTGTATATAATGTATACGTTGTATATGACTGGGAAGCCTACTGAGACTACATACAGGAGGTCAGTGGGTAAACATGAAGGTAACGTACCTTGAGGATGGTGAGCGAACGACCGATGAAAGTTTGGTTGAGGAGGATGCCAGAGAGGCTGTCGACGGGGATCTCCTGCTGGATGTTGAGGTAGTAGTTCTGCCTCCTGGCCTCCCCCAGCCCCACCTGCAACACCACCTCACACCTCTCACTCTCTCACTACACTCCTTTACATACACCAAATTACAATGCTTGTAATACTACAGATTTGGGTGATCAAGTGCAAATAAATAAATTAATTAATTAATAAGGATAGCGTATCAGGCAGGTCTTCAATGGTGCGACTGTTCCCTGGTCACACTAACAGTTACCTCCTGGTGCTACTGTTCCCTGGTTACACTGACAGTTACCTCCTGGTGCTACTGTTCCCTGGTCACACTGACAGTTACCTCCTGGTGCGACTGTTCCCTGGTCACACTAACAGTTACCTCCTGGTGCTACTGTTCCCTGGTCACACTGACAGTTACCTCCTGGTGCTACTGTTCCCTGGTCACACTGACAGTTACCTCCTGGTGCGACTGTTCCCTGGTCACACTGACAGTTACCTCCTGGTGCTACTGTTCCCTGGTCACACTAACAGTTACCTCCTGGTGCGACTGTTCCCTGGTCACACTGACAGTTACCTCCTGGTGCTACTGTTCCCTGGTCACACTGACAGTTACCTCCTGGTGCGACTGTTCCCTGGTCACACTGACAGTTACCTCCTGGTGCTACTGTTCCCTGGTCACACTGACAGTTACCTCCTGGTGCTACTGTTCCCTGGTCACACTGACAGTTACCTCCTGGTGCTACTGTTCCCTGGTCACACTACCCATACAGGGAGGGTCACGTGACATGTGTGAATGGTACATTACACCAGATGATATTGAGGAATAACTTTGTTTATTAAAATATATCTCAGCGGAATATGGCTCAAGAACACACACTTACGTCTCATAAGATGAAGAAGACGCTGGAATATACTTCACACATCAATTGGCTTAGCATGCAGTTCACCAAACACTCCAGTTAAGTAAGATAACACTTATAATTATTTGGAGGTACTGATGAGAGATGGCAGGATGCACACACACACACGATACTTATCTAGTGAATGAATATTAAGAATACTTATCGCGCTGATACTACTTAAGAATACTCTGTACATGAGACCAGCGGGGTGGTGATCAGGTCTACCCGGCGACGACTGTGTCTCCAGACACCCGCACCTTTGACAAGGTGCAGGTGTCGTGAAACACAGGGACACACACACAGGGACACACAGGGACGTCCCTAACACAGGGACACACACACAGGGACACACAGGGACGTCCCTAACACAGGGACGTGAAATAATTACCTCAAACCCCACAGACACACAATAATATTTATCTGTAAGTAATGACAATTATTAACTTCTTACGTTGTGGAAATGAATGTGTTTGAAGCGACTGAGTAGTGTGGCCGGCGCGTGGTCGAGCAGGTCGAACATGTGCACCTCACAGTTGAGCTTGGACACAGCTTCGTCGAAGGAGACGTCGACGTTGATGCCGAAGGAGAGAGTGAGACAGGTGCGAGAGTCTGGTGCAGGAGGCAGGCCGAGGGGGGCGTCCATACACACCACCTGCAGGAGGTCCACACCCGCTCATTGTTCATGTATGTTTACTGAGGCAAGAAAATACATCTCAGAGGGACAGAGTAGCTTAGGCTATTTCTACCCCCCTTCTACTTCAAGTCCCTCAAAGGACGCACAAATTCAGTGAGTACAAATCAAATCACAATACAAGAATCGCATTTAACCATATTAGTGTTACACTCTTGGGGCAAAATAAACAGTGGTTCAGCTGACGGTGCTCGGGGGAAGGGGGGGGGGGGGGGGTATAGGATGCAATCCACAACAGTTCAACTGTTTACTAATTCCCAGGTATCTATTTACTGTTAGGTGGCACGCGGGAGCGCGCGCGCGCACACCCATACACACACAGGGGCCTCGCGGCTGAGTGGGCAGCGCTCGGTGCTTGTTGTCTTAGGGGCCGGGGTTCGATTCCCGGCCGAGGCTGAAACAAATGGGCACAGTTGCTTTCACACTGATGCCTCTGTTCACCTAGCACTAAATAGATACCTGGGAGTTAGACAGCTGCTACGGACTGCTTCTAGGGGATGTGTGTGTGTGTGTGTGTGTGTGTGTGTGTGTGTGTGTGTGTGTGTGTGTGTGTGTGTGTGTGTGTGTGTGTGTGTGTGTGTGTTAGAGAGAAATATATGTGAAGTAGACTTAATAGAGCTAATAGCTCGATTCTGTAGGTATAAATAGCAAATACACCCACACAACCTTCATGTGGATGATCCATCCATGGTTGCATCAACAAGTTTTATCTATACTTCTGGAATAATATATATCTGGCAGGTTTATAAAGGTTTCACCCGTCTTCCCGACTTGGAGAGTTCCAGACGAAATGGTTCCTCGCGGAAAACCAGTCGTCTGTTCCCTGCACAACTCTAAAACTCTGAGAATATGGTTGACATCTTACCTTGCTACCATCTGGAAGTTTGTCAGTGACGTCCCCACATTTGTGAAGACCACCCATAGTAAGGAGCTTGCGACACCCGGCCTGCGGTGTCTTGAGGTAGGTGAAGTAGTCCCTCACGTGCCCCAAGCCTGCCTCCTCCTCCTCCTCCACCACCGGCCAGGAGGCGTTCTTCTCCCCCATCACGAGGGGCGGGGGCGGCGTCACCCCTGTGTTACACAACAGGTGTCCAACTGTACAGTACTCCCACTCACCTCATGCAACACATACTAATTGGATCCAACTATATTCCATAATATATCTACAGTATATCATCTTATTTTTTAACACTAAATTGTTAGCTAAATTAATAATACAAGCCAGTGTAGACGACGAGTCACAAGAACGTGGCTGAAGATGTGATGACCAAACCACACGTCACTAGATGGAGAAGCGACGACGTTTCGGTCCGTCCAGGACCATTATCACACGCGACTTAATCGTGGTCCAGGACGGACCGAAACGTCGTCGTATCTCCATCTTGTGACGTGTGACTTGGTCATCATACAAGCCGGTATTTGACTCTACTCAACAGCCCAACTGTCAAACGTTCCGTAAGAGGAGCCACTTGTGTGTGTGCAACCCGTCCTCCTAAGGTTTCCCAATGTCAAGAAAACGGTCAAATTAAAGTGTCCTCTCCTAACCTACCAGAGGACCCAAAACAGAAAACGGGACAGTACGTCACTTTCGCGAGCCGCTTCTATTTTCAAGTAAGACAATTTTTGGTGTTATGTAACGCATACGAGCGATTTGCGACGTTCTTTGTAGGAGGCGAGGTTGGGTAGGAGGGTGTAGTGGAGCCCCGCACTCGTACGCAGAGCTTCCTGTACAGATACATGTATTTATTACTGCCACCAACAGCGTCTAATGTGTGTGTACCTGCAGACCGTCTCTTAGTCCTATCACAAACATAGCAAGTAACAAAGGGCCTTCCTAATATACAAAGGTATAATTATTTACCCCGCGGGATGTGATAAGGATAGTGTCACATGTAACACAGCGACTACTACACCGGCAGGGAGGACGACCTGTGTAATTGGTCGCCAGCTCATACTCGTGTCGTCCCAAGGAACGACGTGATGACGCGAGGCTTCCCAGTCGTGCTCTCCGACGACGACGACGACGACGACGACGACGCGCTCTATGACAATACTCCCAGCCCGTCCTCAACAGCCCTCCTCTGTGTCTACAGCACTGGCAGGGCTCCGGACTCTCGGTAGATCTGATTCACAGACGTTTAGATGAAATATTAACAGGGTGGCATAGTCTTTGACACCAGTGGTCTTTGACACCAGTGGTCTTTGACACCGGTGGTCTTTGACACCGGTGGTCTTCGACACCGGTGGTCTTCGACACTGGTGGTCTTTGACACCAGTGGTCTTTGACACCGGTGGTCTTTGACACCAGTGGTCTTTGACACCAGTGGTCTTCGACACCGGTGGTCTTCGACACCAGTGGTCTTCGACACCGGTGGTCTTTGACACCAGTGGTCTTTGACACCGGTGGTCTTTGACACCAGTGGTCTTTGACACCAGTGGTCTTTGACACCGGTGGTCTTTGACACCGTTGGTCTTCGACACCGGTGTCTTTGACACTGGTGGTCTTTGACACCGGTAGTCTTTGACACCGGTGGTCTTTGACACCAAAGGAAGACCAGGTAATCTAACATTGTGACGAGTTTATAAAGTTAGAGAATATTAAAAGTAATATTTATGGTTGAGAAGTACGTGTGGGAGCGAGAGGAGAGAGGCGACTTCTGGCGGTACTCCTGTGTGTGTGTGTGTCCTCAGCACGGGGGAAGTGCATCAGAAGTACATCATTAGGCGGGACCAAAGAGCCAAAGCTCAACCCCCGCAACCACAACTAGGTGAGTACATGCTGGATGTCCACACACCTCTCTACCGCTTGTGTGACGTACCACACTGGTACACTGTCTGGGTACCCACATCCTATGGTACGTATGCTTTCCTTTTTTGGGGGGCGGGGGGGACTGGAAGGCAATTAGGCTTTGTGATAACTACGAACTCCCGAGCAGCCACCTCTCAGTTACTCAACTCTTGTGGGTCGTATCCTGGGGTCAGTCAACAACTGATCTTTCCGAAAGATGCGACCTTATTAATATCTTCTTATCTCCAAATAATGAGATAAGAGGCTATTAATAAGGTATTATTGACATAAGTGTATATAAATGATCTTACTCAAATCGTTTTTAAACTGATCAGGATCTGATTTTTAACTTGAGTAAGATCATTAATACACATTTATCTCAATAATACCTCATTAATATCCTCTTATTTCATTATTATCTTTTGTTTGTGAATAAAGACACTGTTTCTCACTTCACTCCTCTCTATATATATTCACTCCACTGAATTGTAAATCCATCCTTCTGAAGATGTATTCTTAACTACGAAAGTACTAAAGAAGGAATTTCCTGTCTTAATCCTTCATTCGTGGTCTTATACACACACACACACACACACACACACACACACACACACACACACACACACACACACACACACACACACACACACACACACACACACACACACACACACATATATATATATATATATATATATATATATATATATATATATATATATATATATATATATATATATATATATATATGTGTGTGTGTGTGTAACCCTGAAGTTATATATCTTGGCCGTGTGTGCCCGTGTGTCTTGTCTGGTGTATTGTGTCCCTGTGTGTTGGTAATGCTCCTTATTGTTATAGTGGAGGTGAGTGCTCACCTGTGCACATAGTGTGTGGCGCCCAGCACGGCGGGCGTATGGTGGTGCAGGGGCAGCGCCGCCACCACCTGGGACCCGTACGCCAGACGGTCCACCACCACGGAGAACCCTAACACTCCACTCAACGGCCCCTTCTGCAGCGTCTCCTTCACCTCCGGCAGCCTCACGGACTTGGCCTTTGTGGCAGCTACTTTGACCTTCCGGGAAGCAGGAGGTTCCCGACGGGGAGGTCTGCGAGGGCGGGTGTGTGGCGGGGGCTGGGCCAGGAGGGAGCAGACGCCCACCACCACCACCACCATCACACAACACCACCACAACATCTTCCACAAGTCTCTTCTCAACCGGACACGATTCATGGCTCTGGTACAAGAGAGTTCTTGGTTATTAATATAATTATGTAGTTCCCGCCAGTTTATGATTCAAAAACAATATAATGCTCAAAAATACATAACATGAATCACTCAACTTATAACCTGTTTACTGTAGCATGTGCCAAGTTGTTGGGGACAGGAAGCTTGTTAGGTTTATTCAGGTGCCTGGTGGCTGACCTTCCCCAGGATGCTGCCCACAACAGTTGTGTCACTCTCGGGTACTTGTGTACTGCAAGGTCAACACGGGTATTAGTAGCAAGCAAACTTGCACAAACGTCTTAATCTGACCGGGAATCGAACCCAAGACCTTCCAGCGCTGACCACAGGTTGAGTATGCATGTATAATGCCAGGTAATCAGCTGATTGTCTGGCAGTTCACCTAGAACATTAACAAAATAGGAAGGTGGGGGGGGGGGAGGGGGGACCGTTTCAGACGAATTTAGAAAAAACAACTGTAACATTATATCTGTTCTTTATTTCCTTCCGTGAGGCCGGAGTCCCCACACCCTCACCAGGTGTGGTGCCCTGCTCCCCCCCCCCCCTCTGTATGGACCTGCAGGTGTATATTATCAAATACAATTAGATACTTTTTGAAATAATAGTTTTAATTTAGAATGACAAAATAGTTAATGAACTATTATTACATAACACTGCATGGTTACTTGTTCTCTCCTGGCGCGAGGACCACCAACTGCTTTCCTTCTTAGTGTGTGCGCACGCACGCACACACACACACACACGCACGCACGCACACACGCAATTTTAAATGTATAAATTCCTGTAATGTACAACTTTGTCACTACGGCCGTATTTTACCACACATATATATATATATATATATATATATATATATATATATATATATATATATATATATATATATATATATATATATATATATATATATATATATATATATATATATATATATATATATATATATATATATATATATATATATATATATATATATATATATATATATATATATGTCGTACCTAGTAGCCAGAACACACTTCTCAGCCTACTATGCAAGGCCCGATTTGCCTAATAAGCCAAGTTTTCATGAAATATTTGTTTTTCGACTACCTAACCTACCTAACCTAACCTAACCTAACTTTTTCGGCTACCTAACCGAACCTAACCTATAGAGATAGGTTAGGTTAGGTTAGGTAGGGTTGGTTAGGTTTGGTCATATATCTACGTTAATTTTAATTCCAATAACAAAAAATTGACTTCATACATAATGAAATGGGTAGCTTTATCATTTCATAAGAAAAAAATTAGAGAAAATATATTAGTTTAGGAAAACTTGGCTTATTAGGCAAATTGGGCCTTGCATAGTAGGCTGAGAAGTGCGTTCTGGCTACTAGGTACGACATATATATATATATATATATATATATATATATATATATATATATATATATATATATTATTCTCCTTGTATAGCAGCCTGATCATAGCCGGAGGTCCCGGGTTGCATTCCCGCTGCCGAACAAAAGCGTTTGGGCAACGTTTCCTGTCACCTATTCCTGACAATGGGAACCAAAACCATTTCTTTGTGTCAACTGCCTTAATAACAATTGTCGAGGTGGAGGCAGACCTGCTCTCCAACGCTGGCTAATATGATGACACGGTGTAGACCCGCTGCTACGGTACAATGACACGGTGTAGACTGCTGCTACGGTACAATGACACGGTGTTGACCGCTGCTACGGTACAATGACACAGTGTTGACCGCTGTTACGGTGCAATGACACGGTGTTGACCGCTGCTACGGTACAATGACACGGTGTAGACCGCTGCTACGGTACAATGACACGGTGTAGACCGCTGCTACGGTACAATGACACAGTGTTGACCGCTGTTACGGTGCAATGACACGGTGTTGACCGCTGCTACGGTACAATGACACGGTGTAGACTGCTGCTACGGTACAATGACACGGTGTAGACTGCTGCTACGGTACAATGACACGGTGTAGACCGCTGCTACGGTACAATGACAC